GCTGTGGATTAGAGTCGGAGTGCTCAATGACAGAGAGAGCACTGTGTCGTGTGTTGTACTCTGTAGATTTGAGTCCCACGCAAGGGCTAGCAGCTCTTCTTTGTATCGACTCTGAGTCAGACACGAAGTGCGACTTTGCCTTGTGTGTACACTCTATCAATTGCGCAGTACATGTCTTGACCAACACTTGGTAGCGAATGGTAGAACGAGCAGGCAAGGCAAACAAGTCAAGCTACAACCAGGCCAGCTCTAATAAAGAAGAAAGAGTTGCCCTGGGGGGATTCGAACCCACGACACATGTGAAGAATGTGGACAATGGTGGGCGCACATTGCAGCCATGTACCACGACCAGCCTCAACTTCTCAGCATGACGAGAGGAGCTGACTGAGGCACAGCACAACAGCACAACATAGAGCCTGTTGCTGCTGTATCTATAGAACTAAGAGAACCCACAGAGATCAGAGTAGGAATGCAGAGCCATGCTGGCGGCATAGTCTGAGCCATCAAAGACACTGCTAATGGCTCTAGCCACTCGTGTAAGGTCGGACAAGGCAAGGCATTTGGCTGCGCTGTCTCTCTCTGTGTGTGTCGTTAACAGGTTATGTCAGCAGGTAAACACAGCCTGCCAATGCAAGCCAACAGAATTCCTGACAGTACATCAGCAGGCTTGTCAGTTTGAAAAGTTAAAGATGCCGCTTATTTTTATAACAAAAAGGTTTAACGAATGCAGCAGTCAGGCTAGCATGAGTAGTAGCAGCTAAAATTACCTCTCACAAACTTTACATTTCTGGTTGCCATGTATATATTTGCTCTTGATTCTCTCCCTCTCTGCCACAGGTAATCCTCTCCTGCTCTCACGTCTTCACAGACAAGACGGTCTTCCCGATCACCGTCGAGGTCTCCAATTCATACTCAATCTGGCTGCCTCCCAGAAGACAGACCGGTGCCACAGCTGGTCGCCATAGCAACTATCAGACACGACTCATCCACGATGGGCGGAGTCACCATCGAGTCAAGTCAGCCATCAAGTGGGTTGCATTTCTTAATCTCTCACCAAAGAGTATTCTTCATCTCTCTCCGCCGTCCCCAGGATTCAGTGTTGGTGGAGAGGGGTGCTGGTGAGGAGATGGTACAGGGAGGCGAGAGGGAGATGCAGGAGAGTCGACGTGTCCCTACTTTACAGACCCACCTGCCCTGCGCTCCAGGTTCTACCACAGGAGACTTGCTTCACTCACTTCTAGGATGGTACGCCTTCCCTATACTCCCTCTCTTTTCTTCATGACAGCTATTTACATCAACGTACATGCATACTACATGTATACATATACTGCATGTTGTACTGTACAGACACCGCAATCAAGCGCCAGAGTGCTTGTACACTGTGAATGAATCCCGGCCCACAAATTTCAGCCCTGTAATCTCTCGAAAACTGTTTTTCTCTAGCGAAATGCAATGTTATGTACTACAGGTGGAGTCTTGTGCCCAGAGTAGCTCTGCTGCAGAGGGAGTGTTGGCTGCGGCCGATTCAGCTCTAGCCACAGCCAGAGCCGCCATGAGGTGAGGGGAGGGAGGGAAGTATTCGTTGTCCCTTATTCAGATGTTAACTTTCTCCCCCAACAGGACATTGGACTGCCATGCAGCTCTCTCCTCCATTGACTGGTCCTCTCTCCAGATAAAAGCCAGAGAAACTGCGTCAACTTCTGAATGTCCAATCTGCATTGCTCCTCTCCTCCCTCCCCAAGCCACGCCCACTGGCCACGCCCACAGAGATCGTCGTCGTCCGATAAGCCTCCTGTCGTGTGGTCACATGCTCCACCAGACTTGTGTCTCTTCTCTGGAGAGGTTCTGCACTACTGATGGAGAGCTCTCCCTCTGCCCACTCTGTAGAGCTCCCTATCTCAGACAAACTCTAAATTTTATACAGTAGCCCCGACAAAATTGTATTTTTTGGCCCACCCGAAACAAATTTGCGATTTATTTTAGGACAATCCAGAGGAAGTGGGCGGAGTTATTGCTCGCGCGAGTGGTGGTGCAGTGTGGGCGTGTTAGCTAGTGTAGGAGAAAGTAATGGCCCGGCTGTTTGTGGAGGCTCTACTGATCCTGGGCTCCGTGGAGATCTGTCTGCCGTCTCAACAAGACGTTCGCTGGGTTGTGAAGGTACCTGCAGGGAGATCACGTGAGGCAGCGGCCATACGGCTCGCGGAGGAACGCGGCTTGGAATACGTGGGTCCGGTGGAGCCTTTCCCCGACCTGTTCGAGCTGCGACTGTCCCGTAAAACGGTGGAGTCTCGCAGTGTGGACCATGGGATCGGGCAACTGGACGACCCGTCTGTTGAGGACGCCGTTCATGCGGAGTTATCGGGTCATCCAGCAGTGGAATGGGCCAGTAAGCAAGTCCCTCTCAAACGAATGAAGAGAGAATTCATAGATCCAGCTTTTCCTCGTCAGTGGCACTTGGTATTACTCCGTTAACCCTCTCCCAACACTCAGGCAGATTTAACCCTTTGTCCACAGGTTAATCGACTTGAGAAGGGTCACGATACGAACGTGTCTGGAGTGTGGAAGGAAGGAGTTAACGGAGCCGGGGTGACGGTAGCTGTTGTTGACGATGGTAATATCTCTATCTTTTACGCATGTTAGTTACCATGACAACTCCCATAGGTGTGGAATGGCGTAATCCTGACCTGAGAAACAATTACGTAAGTTACCTTTCTCTCTCCTTATTTATAATCTCAAATTGGTTTTCATGTATATACACTCAGAATGCTGATGGTAGTCATGACTACAATGATAACGACAAAGATCCGTCTCCAAACCTAAAAGCCAAATACGACAATTCCCACGGAACAAAGTAAGCCCAGCCAATCCTCGGATTGCGCAGCCCATCCGTTAATGGGTCACGCGATTGTACAGATGTGCAGGACTGATAGCTGCTGGAGCTAACGACATTTGTGGGGTGGGTGTGGCTTACGGAGCCAAGGTTGCCGGGATACGAATGCTGGACGGCATGGTAACGGACCTGCTGGAGGGAAAGTCTTTCATCTTCAAAGCTCACGTCAACTGGATTTACAGCTGCAGGTGGTCAATGTCCTGATTAGTGAGGTGTCTCCAAATACTTTGATTTCCACATTAGCTGGGGTCCCGAGGATGACGGGAAAACAGTGGAAGGTCCAGGCTACGTTGCCAAGGTAATGACTCCACCGTGTAATGATGCTCTGTTACCGTGGTGATGTTTCTCCCGCAGGAAGCCATGGAACTGGCAATAAAAAAGGGTCGCTATGGCTACGGAAACGTGTTTGTGTTTGCCTCTGGTAACGGAGGGATAAACGACGACAATTGTAACTTTGATGGATATGCAAATTCAATCTTCACAATCACCATCGGTAACACTCCCTGCAGCATACTAGTACACATACATACCCACTGGATCCTCCAAATAAAGCACACCTCGCTGCTTCGTGTTACGTCCGAATAGAAATGAAGGACTTTTGATGTGTGGCAAGGTGTCCCTTATTTAGAGTGTTTACTAACAGGTGTTTCTCTTCCTCCCACATACAGGAGCTGTTGATGAGCTGAATTCCATGCCGTACTATGCCGAGCTGTGCTCTGCCATGCTTGCCGTCACCTATAGCAACGGCCACACCCAAGGAGACAGAATGGTGGTAGGTTTTCTTCATCTTCACTGTATACGTACAGGTGGGTGTGGTCAGAGGTTTAACTGTATACGTACAGGTGGGTGTGGTCAGAGGTTTAACTGTATACGTACAGGTGGGTGTGGTCAGAGGTTTAACTGTATACGTACAGTGATACCTCTGAATAAGGGACACCTTGGGGATATTTTATTTACCTCGTCCCTTACTCAGCAGCAACAACCAGGTGTCCTTTATAGAGAGGTGTCCTTTGTTCAGAGGGTCCTTGGAGACTAAAATGGAGCCTCTTGATTTTCTCCTTCTTCCTCGTATCCTAGGTAACGACAGATGCCAGCAGTCACAAGGGGTGCACCTACACTTTCTCCGGGACCTCTGCATCTGCTCCCATCGCCTCGGGGATTATCGCTCTCATGCTGCAGATTAGGTGAGGAGGGAGAGAGGAGGACGAGAGAAGACGAGAGAGAGGACGAGAGAGAAGGGTGTACAGCAGAATGTTCTGTGGTCTAGAAAAGTGTGGTTTGGGGAAGGACCCAACTTCAATAAATCAAAACCTGGAACTGTGTTCACCAGTGTTTTGGTGCCTCTAAGTTTAGGTAATAACACGTTCTTTGTCTTTTGTCGACAGAAACTGTCTTACTTGGAGAGACGTGCAACACATCATTGTCTACACAGCTGTCATGGTGGATGCTGGCCACGCCCAGTGGGCGGAGAATGCCGCCGGGTTTCACCATAGCAACCAGCACGGCTTTGGACTACTAGACGCTTACAGAATGACCCGTGTTGCCGGGGTAACCAAAACATCTTTCCATTTTCTATCTTTGTGAAACCTCACAACCTCTGAGCCGTCTCTATAAAAAGGAGCTCTTAGACTTTTGATGTTCCTTTTGTTTCCTTTATTCAGAGCTTTCCCTACTGCTCCTTCTTCCCCTCTCTTGTCTTTCTTCTCTCTCTCTCTCAGCTGTGGCAACTTGTCCCGCCCTCAGTTCACTGGCGTTCACCACATGAAAAACCCTCACATCCACTAACTGCCAACCAACCAGTCACACTCGCAAGAAATGGTGAGAAGAAACTTAGCTTGTAAAGGGATTTATTGTGTCTCGTTGTGTTGCCTAGTGACCAGAGATGAGTTGCCAGTTGACCTTCTGACCCTGGAACATGTGACTGTCACAGTAAGATTAAAACCCATTGACTCCTGAATATGTGTGTAGCTGAAGATTACCCTGAAATGAGGACACCTCTCTAATAAGGTCACCCTTTTCCCCATCTCTCTCTCCCTCCCCCTCTCTCTCTCTCTCTTCCTCCAGTTGTCCATCTCTCATTCGTATCGCGGTCTTCTCCACATCTACCTAGTATCACCTCAGGGAACCAACTCCACATTAGCCACCCCCAGAAAACAAGACAGGTTCGTAGACACACGCACAGTTGAGAATGACACAACAACTGTCCTTTATAGAGAGGTGTCCAGATTGATTTTGCCAAGTCTAGAAAACAGCATGGATAAAATTTGCAAAATCCTGCGTATGAAAGTTTATACTCCCTGGCCAATAGTTAATAATTTCTCGCTGAGATGCCATTAAATGGTGTAATGTTCCAGATGTACTTGCAACTTGCAAGACCTGCGCTTTTAGCACAGGAAAATATGAACTCCTTTATTACGACTACAAAGACTTTGTTATGTCAACATAATATTATCTAAACTACTTCTGCTCTCCTCTTTCTATGTCTATGAGGCTACAGGGAGTATTGAAATTAGTGATTATAGTGTTCTAAAGCTACCACCACGCGGTCGCCTGGTAACACAAACACATGTGCTAGAAAAACAAGGTCCAGAGAAACACGTCTCTCGGTATGGAATGAGACCTGCATGCCTGCCAGTCCTGTTTCTGGTATGGAACACGGACACAATCATAGCAGATTTGTGTGTGGCTCTTGAATCTGAAATGAGGAGTCTTTCACCAAGAACAGTTCTTGCATACAATTTGAAATAAGGACATCTGACTAAGATGGACCCTTTTTTCTGTCCCAATGGTGTCTGGGTTAGAGAGAGGTTCCACTGTTCCATCGCGTGGAGTGTGTCATCTGTGTCACTGCAGATCAGGAGATGGACTGAAAGACTGGACATTCTCCACTGTCAGGTTCTGGGCCGAGTTGCCATGGGGACCGTGGAGACTGGTCGTCTCACAGTCTGGTGGTAGTCATGGTAACCAAGTCTGCCAACACACCCAGTGTCTCGTTCATTCCCTCCTCTCTCTCTCTCTCCTCTCCCTGCAGACGACAGTGGCGTCGTTAATGGTTGGACTCTGACCCTGTACGGCTCGGCCATCGACAGGGACAATGTGTTGTTACGGCAACAGTAAGTCTCTAATACTATGGCACTGTACTACAGTTGAACATCTTTGTAAAATAATCCACATGCTGGTGATCACGAATATTATCCTTCATAGAAGGTGTTCTTTATATTATACACAAAAATATTTGCACCAAATTGTATCCACTTCTCAGGCTGGTGGAGGATTCTGTGACCACACCCACCTGGACCCCTATACCTTGCCCCGCCCTCCCCGCCCACCCCGAGGAGCTTCACCTTCCTGAACTGGACACACCCTTCCTGCCTGTTGTGGGTTCCTCCCTCTTCTCCCCCCATTTTATCTCGTCGTAAACACCAGATTTTGTTCAACGGTTTTGCATTTATTAAAGAGAGATTCCAAAATGAAATGACAAACCAACAATGCCTAACAGTTTGACTATAGTTGGAGGTTGGAATAGCGATACTATCTAGCTGTACCTAAACACTTATTTTTCTAGCAATTTCCTTCATTATCACCCCTTCCGACAAGGGTTTGAACAGTTTTGCATTTGTTGTACGCACATGAGTAAACGAAACGACAAACCAACAATGCCTAACAGTTTGACTATAGTTGGAGGTTGGAATAGCGATACTATCTAGCTGTACCTAAACACTTATTTTTCTTGCAATTTCCTTCATTATCACCCCTTCCGACAAGGGTTTGAACAGTTTTGCATTTGTTGTACGCACATGAGTAAACGAAACGACAAACCAACAATGCCTAACAGTTTGACTATAGTTGGAGGTTGGAATAGCGATACTATCTAGCTGTACCTAAATTCTAGCAATTTCCTTCATTGTCACCCTTTCCGACAAAGGTTTGAACAGTTTTGCATTTGTTGTACGCACATGAGTAAACGAAACGACAAACCAACAATGCCTAACAGTTTGACTATAGTTGGGGGTTGGAATAGCGACACTATCTCGCTGTACCTAAATTCTAGCAATTTCCTTCATTGTCACCCCCCCTCTCCCTCACTCCACAGTGGAAGCAGGTGCTACTGGTGATAGGGTGTGTCCTCATCTTTGTACTGGTGGTTCACTGTCATCGGGGAGAAGGTCTGGAGAGCAAACAAGACCAGAAGACTCTCCTCTCTTCCATCAGTCTCCTACTCAAGACTCAACAATACACAGGTAATGGCAGATCTTCAATTTTTGTGTCTAAAATGTTTTGTGAATGGAACAGAGCAGTGGACGAGAATTTCACTAACGTAAAACTGCATTGCTTGGCTAACTGCCATGCAAACAATATTGGCCCCTAGCCCAAATTTTTTGTAATACCTACTATCTTCTGCCGTTGTTGCCAGGGTGATGATGTCATCGAAGACGTGGTCATACAAAACAACGACCAACAACAAAGGGTGAGTGGGCTCACACTGGTTACCATGGCAACGGGGAAGACCCTGTTGTAACCAAGGAGAGTAAATCTTACATCATCATTCACCAGAGTGAGATGGGGAGATATTATAGTGCTGTGGTCAGATAAGAGTTTAAGATGGTTATCTCCCTGCGGTACAGTCAGCTATTTCAAGGAATCACCTGATGTTGGCTGTGGTCAAGAACTGGCTTTCATTGTGCCTTGTCTTTAGTACATCCGCTCATACGCTAGAGACTGTGGGTGCAACTCCTCTATTGGATGTTGTATGGGTATGATAGTCCGCAGTTCCTTCTATCAGACTGTACCAATGGAGGTCACAACACAACAGGACCATGCTGTCTATAATTATAATGCCTGTTGTGGTTGGTTTTTCTATATAGCTGCATGCAGGTTATTGGTGTTGTGATATTCCTAGATTGAAGATCCACCTGCTGACAGTCCAACCACCTCACCTTGCCCAGCCCATTACCACACCTCCCTAGACAACCACGTGACACAAGGGGTGGAGTCAGATGAAGAGGAAGGGGCAAGAGTTGACATCATCAAAAATAGCACACCAGAGCAACAGCCTTTGTTGTCATGACAATCATTCCACATACGCACAGGTCTATATGCATTTCCACTGCTCCTTCAAAACTGTTCTTTTTAATGCCCCCCACCACTAAAACGAACTACAGTTTAGTTTCTGTATAAATCCCGAATTGATCAAAAATTCATCAAAAATTTGCTGGATAATAATATTGCCTACACCAAAAAATCTATCAAGTGATACAAAAATTGTTCTGATTGAGACAATTAGAAATGGGACAGGAATTATAATGTGATAAAAATGCTGATAATAACTAAATTGAGGCTAGAAAACCGTACATTAAAATAAAATCACAAGAGAAAAAAGGTTAATAATATTTATATGCTGGACCTGTGTGAAAAAGTACACGATATCATATCGAAAATTAAAAGATAAAGAATGGATGGGGTTTAGGTTGCTAAGGAGATAGCCACGGTAACCAAAGTGATGAATGAAATGAAAATGAAGTCAAAACAGGGGTGAAAGGTCGTTGCTAGGTGCTTTGTACATAGTAACGCCCGGGCATCTAAAAAAATTGGCTAATAAAAGAAGGGCATACATAACGAGTGCAACCAAAAGCTAACTGAAACAAAAAATAAATTGGAACTAAAAATCTCTTGAGTAAAGACAATTGGCGCTAACTGTAGGGTACAAAGCTCGTCGGCACGGTTACAAAACATTGCCATGGCGACAGGGACTGCGTCTCTTGTGAAGAAAAACTGTGTCAGTCTCTAAATGTGTGCAAACACCGATTCCGTTGGTTGATTCATTGACGAAGTCGTCCCCTCGTTGAGTGGGTGGGGCCAGTCTCAGAGGCTGCGAGCCTTGGAGGTCCGAGTGAGTGGCTTGTGGCTCTGGTAGCCGTCGATGGAGTGTTGCCATTGCCAACAGGAGCGACAGAAGTACTTGAAACACTTGAAGTCCCTGCAGAAGTAAGGCCCCACCACACGACTGCACATGGTACACAGGGAGTCCTCCAGGTAGGGGTCTATCTGGACCTGCACAGAGGGAGAGGGGGTAAAGTGTCACCATGGCAACATATCCTGGTTACCATGACAACTAAACACAAGCTCTTAACTACTTTTCAGACCCTGTTACTATGGCAACAGCAACAGCAATAAACTGGTGGCCAAGCCGGAGTTGTATCTTACCTTCTTGCTGAATTTTGGAGTTTTGATCTCAACAAAGCCGGCCTTGACTGCCTTCATGAAGCTGCGTTGGTTGCCAAAGGTAACGCGGCCAGAACCAATGGGGTACTTGTAGCGATCAGTGTCGATGCCGGCGTAGACCACACCCCCAAACAGGTCGTTCATAATGTGAGCCAAGATATCTAGAATGAGAGGAAATGAAGGTGAGAAACTCAATGACATGAAAGGTGTCTGTCGGTGGCGAGAGAGAGACAGTCACACTCACACACCTGCGTTCAGAAGTCCGTGGAGACCACCCACAAACACAGTCCTGCTAGGGTCCAGACGAGGTGACGGGCATCTAATAGAGTTGCTATCGGAGAGCGCCCATGGTATCACCTGGACCTCCTTGTTTCTGACTCGGCGACTGCAGACCTTGAAATAGTACTGACTGGTGTCCATTGGATCGTGCATGCAGTTCACCAGCAAGTTCTTCACACTCTTCTCCATGTCGAATGTCAGATACACATACCCTGTGGAGTGAGGGAAGAGAGGAGGGTGTGATCAAGGGGGGAGAGGAGAGAGAGAGAAAGGATCGTGTGACGAAGGGGGGAGAGAGGGGAGAGAGAGGAGATCATGTGATGAAGGGGGAGAGGGAAAAAGAGAAAGAGCAGCAACATTAGCAACATAGACTGATGTATAAAGCTAAGAAGGGAGAGGGAAAGGTTTCTACATTGCAGCAACAAACCACAGGCTACGCTATCCACATAATTATAAATCACCAGCTGCAAGCTCCACTCCAAGTACACCAAGCTATTATTAGGGCTAGCAGATAAAAGAACAAAGTCATGAAGGCGGTACCAACAGAGCTGCAGGCAAAAGGCGATAACAAGCAGGCCTAGGGCTTTGCTCCAGTAGTAAGGAAGCCAGGAAAACGCGGGAGCAGCTGCCGCGGGCAGATGTCACAGTTTACACAGCAAACCCGAGGTCAGACGCTAAGGCTCAGCCTGGTGCGCATGCGCAAACGCGATGCCGACCACGTGCTCAAGTGCAGCCAGTAACTCATAAGGAAGGAACTAGACTCTTTCACAATGTAAGGACCTCCTTCCACCCACACCTTCATCTACTCAGCGCAAAGGAAGCGACAATGGCGCCATCTCAGCGGGGACACTATCTCACACAACAGGCAGGGCGGGCAACGGGCAGGCTGGTTGTGATAGCTAACAAAACAAGCTCACCTGACAGCTGCCACACCACAAGTAACAAGAAAAACCAAAAAAACCACCAAATCTACAGCACCCACAACCCAAGACACAAGTCTAGCTTATTTCAGTGTACAGGACAACAACAAACAACACCTTTGAACGTTGCCTATAGCAACTACCCCTCACTGACCTTTTGGTGGGTGTCTGTTGTGTTTGTTGTCTTTGCCAGGCCAGTCAACGGAGAGGTTTCCACAAGGCTGGAAGGTTGCTAGGAGAGCTGCCTCTGTTATATCCCACGGAACACCTCCGAGGAAGACGCGGGGTGAGTAGGTGGGGTTCTTGTGTCTCCGTGGCGGCAGCTGTCCACTCCACGTGCAGATGACGTCAGAATCTGGGGAGGGAGAGGGAGAGGGAGAAGAGATGAGAAGAAACAAGAGAGTATAAGTAGTTTGATAAAAAAATATTCAGTGTCTTTGTGATGCAAGTCACAGCATTATTGACAATGTGGCAGATCCACAAAATGTTCATCTGCTTCACTCTAAAATACAAGTTTATTCTAAGCCAAGCACATCATAAACTTCCAGGCCCTGTAAAAATCATCGGTTTCCTGCCAATTGTGAAGCTTTGTCTTCTCTCTCTCAAAGGTTTTGTTATTTTAAACGTCTGAAATCAGTAAAGTTGGGTGGGTGGGTCACTGGCTACTAGGTCACTACTCCTGCAACTTATGTAGCTACACAGCTTTGCAGGTTTGCAGAGAGCTAGTATCCCAACACCCCTTTTTAGCCTAGTGTTATTCCAAGATCCAGGGCTGGAATAACTACACACATCTGACTCAGAGAGAAGATAGGGGAAGATAGGGAGAGAGAAAGTTGTACACAAAACACAGGTGCACCTGTTTGGTTGCTAGGCAGAGCTAGAGTTTGAATTTGAATTTTTTCCATGGCGATGTACTAGGAAGATTTGTTATAACAAGCACAGTGGGGGGACGGACAGGCTGTCTATGAATCAATAAGTCAATCTTGGCTGGCAGTCAAAAATGCCAGTCGCCTCTGCTGACCAGTCCATTCATTGCTTCTATACATGCAGCATTACTACCGGCTATATCTTGTATAACATACAGTTGAACCCCCTCTACTTACACCTCTCTAATAAGGACACTATATGAATCCTGCTGTATACACAACATCTCATGGCAGACTCACTGTTGCTAAAGGGGTTCCCCTGTCCTCCGATGTGGCAAGAGGTACTCTTGGGGTAGTACGTTCTCTCCACTCCGCCGGGTGCGAGGAGAGTTGGTTCGTACATCCCCAGTCCGTAGCTGGTGGTGTGGGTCGGGAGGGGAAAGACATGGGAGGGAGGAGGAGGAGGGGTGTAGGGGATGGTGTGCCATGGCTGCTGCAGAAAATCGTGGCCTGAACAAAGAGAGAGAGAGTATATAGCATGACAGAAAAAGAAATGGAGGGGAAAAGAGTGAAAGATAGAACGAAAGAGAGGAGAGAAAGAGGGGGAGGGGAAAGGAGAATAGATAGTGAAAGAGGGAGATAGTAAGAGTAGAACAGTAGTATACACATATCTAGAGAGGCCACAACCTGAACCCCAGGAATTTGCAGTAGAGTAACAGACAGCCCCTGCCTTGTTTACAGGAAATCCTCTCCACAAAGATCAGGACACAACCTTCAGGACATCATCTCTAACTGAATTATGGCACCTTGACACCCTTCAACTTTAGGACACACTGAATCTAACTTCAGGACATCCTTTTCAACCCATCTAATCAGGACACCTCCATAAATTAAAAAATTTCTAGCATCACAACTAGGACACTACATAAGAACAGTGCCCAAGTTTGACCTATTGTCAGTCAGCGAACATACCACTGTCAGCCTCGGGTGAGCTGGAGCTATCAAATGGGTCAGACTCCCCGTCTGAACCAAGGAGACCAGTCGTAAAGGTCTTACACTCCAGCTCTGGGCTCAGGTTGGTCGGGGATGAAATCTGGTGGTTACCACGGCAACTGGCATTGACCACGCCCCCTCCACTGATATCACTAGGGGCACTGGAGATGGAGAGCCTAGACTGTGAGGAGAGAGGAGAGAGGACAGAGATGATTTCAATCACACCCCCATTTCCTTCAAAAGACAGGTGTTAACAAGCTAAGTGATGGCTGCACTTTCAGCAACTCTAATACAGCTGAGCTGGCGCACAGACACCTTTACCAACTTCCCACCTGCAGTCTAATCAGTCCCTACATTACTCCTGCGCTGGCTCTATTAGTCTAGCCCCTGAATAAGGTCGGAACAATAACACTCGTGAGTGTGCGCAGCTAGAGTCGCAGCTGTTACTAGCGCAGTGCTAGAGCGCCACGCAAAACCAACTCTTTAGCCCATACGCCGCTGTAATACTAATTCATACGGCGGAAGTCTTGCAGAACCTGGCACACATACATACATACTGTATATACATGCGAGATTTACAGTTCTCTCGAACACTTTGGCTATCTAGAGTGTGTAAATACACATGTAGAGCGAACTCACCAACATATTGAGTGCCCTAGCGACCGGGCTATCCGAGCCTTTCCCACTCCCGAGCGGCGAATCGAAGCCGGAGTCAATGGAAGACTCTGATCCGCTGGAGTTGAGGCCGCGCGGAGCAAGCGGCAGCTCCATCGGGGAGGTGTAGGTCCACGGGCTCTGGGTCTGCGTCATTGCCATATCCACTGCTGCTGCTGCTCAGGTGCGAGGTTCTGAAACGGCAAAAGAAAGATCGTACTACGCGTCCATGCTGCACACAAAGACGCGGACCGTGCGCAACGCAAGCCATATCCCTGAGTAGAAAAGAACATCCACATGGCTTCTACGATTAGCTCTAACACCACTTACAGTCCAGGCCTAGCGAAGGAACCGAGACGCTGCCCTACTCATGGCTTCTTTCGAAAAGACGACAGCGCGGGTGAGACAGCCGTCTAGGATGCGTACGCACGTAGCTAACAATAAGCCAACGTACTACAGTGGGTGCCCTGTTATGGTATGACGGCGCCAGAAACAAAGCTAAGAAGGCTACAACCTGAGGAGTAAGTAGTACGCCATGCAGCAGCATATCAACCTACAGGAGTTCAAGATGTTCGCTGAAGGTTCTGCCGGCGCTGATCTTCGGATCCGTGGCTAGCAGCTTGTATCGGTGATCAAGGAGAGGTTCTGGGTGCACCAGAGACGCAACAGTGGCACAGAAAAACCCTCTTGCTTGCTGCCTCGTTCAACCGCGTGGCTTGAAAATGCCTCGTGGCCAGGTGTCCTCTCACTTTCTTACCACCACGAGAAGGGCGCGCGCGGGGTTCCGCTCTTTGCGCGTGCGCAGCCACTTTGCGGAGCGCGGACACCTACGTCTAGTCTGTTGCAGTGCGTTTCTGATGCCATACACTACTAAGTACTTATGCAAAAAAATAACGTCGGAACGTCTCCTCACTGGATAACGTGTCTTGAACTGCGAATGCGTCACTCTACACACGCCCGGCTGGTCCTGTAACTGGTCGCTGCTGCCAAAAGTTCAAGAGATCAGCTTTATACGTACTCACACTGACTGGAACGGAAGTCGCTTTGGAGTAAATTTTGTAGGCATCCGGGCATTCAATGCTCGTGTAGCGGACAGGACGCTGAATGGGCAGTTCTATACACATGCTAATAATCAGGGCCTAAATCTTTTATTGGAGCAACAAGCAGTTGTTATAGCTAGCATAGATCCAGGGCCTCATAATGAAGAATTCCGAGGCTTGAGCTCATGGTAACATCAACACATTCAATAAAGTTTGGCAACTTTTGAGGCCAAAGAATGCGGCAAAGTGAAATGCAGTGTTTATCTATTATTATACACAAGACTCAATGATAATGTAATGTAAGATGCTCTCCAAAGTATAACAGGTCCTTTGTTGTAGGTTTGTATTGTACTGAAACTCAGGAACTATTTGGCATTGACTGAAAGACACGTGCTTTGATGTATTACTGGCTATATATCCAACACAGAGGTCTGAACTGAAGCAAGACAGCTTACTAGCATCATACAGTATTGGTAGCTATGACTCATGATTGGCCAATAGGTTGTAGATCTACATGTCAGCATAGGTAGACGTCTATTGGTTGAAGGATTGCCTACACCGCGACTAGCTGCTAGTTTGATTAGTCTTCAAAGAGGACTCTCTCTCAATGTAATACAACCCCAAATCCAGTATTACACCTCATATCATTCATTGTGTAGGGCTATATATTTATATTGAGCCAGTTTGTTAACAGTTATAAACTGCGATTCCTCTAATCCAGACACTAATGGGACAGAAAAAGTATTCATATAAGTGAAATATCCTTATTTGAACTTTCATGGGAAGAAAGACTAGAGAGCTAGCTGTGTTCATTTCAGAGGTGTCCTTAGAGAGGGGCTCCACTGTATGACTAAGAGCTATGCATCATGGCAATGACAATGATAATTGTGGAAGACATGCAAACGATTGTGGCTAACTGTGAACTTGGCACTCACCATCAAGTGGTCTTTCATGGGCAGAGACATGCGCCATGTTGCAATAACTTACTCTCTTCTAAATTTCTTTATAGCTCCACACTGCATGGTTCTCGTGTTCTATAATACCTACAGTTTACCCTTCCCTAGCTCCCTTTCCTCTCTTGTCTTTTCATTAGCCCTTTCAAAATTCTCACATCTCCAATGGCGATAATTTCTCCCCCCCCTCCCTCCTCTTAGAGGGTTGACTTGTGGGGAGTGTTTCATATTGTTGGCTTGTTAATTTGCAGGTCAAGGCCTATCCCCCTCCACACAGTCAGTATAATATAGCTGCCTTTGATTCAATGTTCGTGTCGTTTTCAGCCCATAGCAGCTCTGAATAGCCAGTATTTACCGTGATGTAGCAATTATCACAGCATTGTCCTCTGATGTAGCCAGTTCATAGCTGCGAAGAGGGTGCGAACTGGTCGATATATTCCTTGTGTCTCTCCCAAGTCCCAGTCCACAGCACACACAGACACTACAAGCTACACTGCCGTCGACCAATGGGTGAAAAGTGATACAAATGGCCATGGTGTTTCATCAATGCTTCCATTATTCTCGGTTCTATACATACTTTTATTGATAGCAAAAGACTGGAAGAAGAGAGAAACAAAAAAAGCGCTGTCTATAGTCCAACAGATGGCAGTGCATAAAGAAGCTAAGCTAAATTTCCATGGCACTCATCATAATCATGTACTACTGCAGACCACTATGCATTCAGCACAAGTTGCACAGAAGACATGCAACAGAGACAAACAGCAGTGGAAGTGCAGGTATTGTGATGTGCGTCGTTTGCGGAATGCGCTGTTTAACCAGACCATGCCAAAAACTGGCGATGTTGCAATGGCTGTTTAGACGACAGTCCTGACTAGCTTGCCACGCTCCCAATGTACATGCAGTTTTGACCATGATAATAATGATTCATTTATGAGGTAATTATGATGTCGTTGTATTCTGGGTGTTTCGATGTGTAGTGCTGTATGTACGAACATGTCGGGACGACCTTTAGACCTTTCTCTTTTGCATAACTGAAAGCAGCCTGTGGATTCGAGTTGAAGAATGATCACGTGAGACTATTTGAGGGTCACGTGATGCTCACCTGTGCGAGGACTCCCCAAGCCCCTTGCCTCTTTGACTGGTTGGAACTTCAGTATGGTGCAGATCTAAAGAGCCGTCGAGTCTCTCTGAATACTCTAGAACAGCCTCTTCGCCTGTATATATAGGCGACAGCTGCTACAAGCTCGCCGTAATTCGTCTCTTACCGCTCTCAAGAGGAACGTAGAACTTCGCTCCTACTGCGTGTTCGACCGCCATCTTGTTTAGAGGTCGGAGTAGAACACCACACGCAAAGAGCGAGAGACTCGCGAGTTGATTTTACGAGCATGCGCACTCATGTGCTTTTTCTGAGAGTGAGCATGCGCACTCCAAAACGACTATATATTATAAAGGCAGCATTATATATAATCAATACAGCAACAGTAAAATTGGTACAAATGTTCGCTCGAAAATAACCATCAAAATCTCACATAATCTGTAAAGTAACCTACTAATAAACAAGAGGTGTCTAGACAATAGTCTACATACACTAGCCCTGGGAACAAGTCTGTCACTATGGCTACGTTGCTGGGGGAAAGTTCAGTGGGTGTGGTCAGTGTCCCGCACGCTCCCGACGGATCTTTGTCAGGTGCTCCTTTGCCCGCTCCAGCTCTCTCATCTTCTTGGCGATCTCCTCCTGCATCTCCAGCTCCTTGCGGAACCCCTCCATCACCTTGCCTTTCACTTTTGGTTTCATGAACGGTTCGTCTTCAATGGCGTTGGCCGATGCCTGCTGAGCTGCCTTCACTAGAGTCTCAGTGGCTTTCTTCACTGCAGCTCCTGCCATCTGCAGATGGAGGAGAGAGACGGAAGAGGGTTAAAACGTATATGGGTCAAAACAATGAAAACTTCATACAAGGTCAGGTGTCTATATTCAGAGGATAATTCATATTTCGATAAAAGTCCACAAGGTACATACATGTATTTACAGAACCATTATGAAGGGTACAGTAGGGGGTGTGGTCAGTGGGTGTGGCTACTCACCTGGAGTCGTCTGTTGTTCTCGCTGCGTGCGTCGGCCTTGACCTGACAAGAGATGAGGAGTTGAGCGGTCGACGATGCGACGGCCTTGGCAGCTGTGATCAATTTATCTTCCTTCGCCTGTCCCATCACCACCAAGTTGGCCGACTCACACAGATTGCTGGTCGCCGCGGCTACCAGCTTAGCCTGGAGACGACAGATACGGTGTCTGACTAGTGTTCATGGTATGACCATCAGTGATACAGACTTTAGACAAGATTGAGGGTTGTGAAAAAAGCACCATGTACGGTAGTCAACGATCCATTCATCAGGCAATAAGTCATTCTTTTACTCAGAGATATTTTTTAATGCCGTGCGTACATGTGCACCCGAAAACAAGAATAAATGTTAATGTAAAGCTGCTACTTAGAAAGAAAGTTAACAGAAATGGCTACATGTTGAAGCTTTGGGGGACAAAAGAAGCAGCAGTGAAAGGGTTTGTTCAAAAGTTGTGACTAAAGAAAGAAGAAAAACTCACGGCAGACACGAGTCCCTCGGACCATTGGCTGTCCTCTGACCTCGGGGCCGAGCTGAGCTTCCCCTGAGCCACCAGTTCCCTCTGAGCCGCTGTGGCACTCCTCACCAGAGCACTCGTGGCACTGGCGATGTTCTTGGCGGCCTCGAGGATCTGCTCTTCAAAGTTGAGGGACTCATCAGCTGCCTACAGAGAGAGGAGGGGAGTTGTTACTATGGGAACTCAGTAATCTACAAACTCTGTCTCTAAACACTACACCGCCCCCAAAACATGACGGAATATCCCTGCAATTATGAATATATTCTGGGAAACATTAATAATTTCCCCTGCACATCTTGCTTCTTGTAAACCCTTTCAAAATTGAAAACTAAGCTTCTTGGGAGTGTACCCATCCCATCCTTTCTCCTACGCCCCTTTCAAAACCAGTCTGACTAGTCTCTCTGTCTGTGTGTGTGTGTGTCTTACGGCAGTGCGGCGAGGTCTGAGCTCCGAGAGTTTCTTGGCAGCAGCCTCGATGGAAGCGGCGGCCTGGAGCAGCTCCGTCTCTGCGATGATGTTTGGATCTTTGGTGTCCACCCATCCTTCACCTGAGGTGGACAGAAACCAATGCCATTGTATATATATACAGCACACACAGCGTGCTGTACGGTCCATCACACCCATACATTGAAGTTGCATGAGAAATTGCACTGTGCATGTTGGCCTATTGCGATACCTAGAAAACAAGGTAATGGGTTCACTTTCATAAAATCGTCCCTCTGTGTCACAGTTTGGGCAATATTTGAAAGCTGCAATAGGCCTACTAATGGTATATTGTAGCAATCAGTGAACCAACTGACCTTTGAGGACCTCAGCGGCTTGCACCACCTCCCCTACTCCATTGGCGACCTCCTTGGAGAAAGCCGGCAGCTTGGCCTTCTTGTCAGCGGAGGGTTTGAGGATGATCTGGTGGATCAGCTCCAGAAGACTCTTGAAGGCAGTGGCACAGTCACGGCCTGCTGACATAGCTCTGGGGAGAAGATGTAAGGAGAATGTATACTCATCTAACGTGTCCTCATGTCAAGGGTGTCCTTATTAGAAGAGGTATAGTATAAGTTCCCCGGCTCACCTGGTCCTGTCTGCCTCATTGTCTGCTCCCAGAGCAGCTGCCTTGCAGGTGTCCAGGAGCTCCGAGACCGCCTTCCTCCCAAGGTTGGCACAGGCACTCACGTCCACCTGTTTACCAGAGTTGCCGGCGGCAACCGCCTTTGCCGACGCCAGCGTGATTCCCTGAATAACAAAGAGACAGATTTTCAAAGGGAACCCTACTAGTGCATGATACACCATTTAAACTTGGCCACCAGTGAAAATCAATTGTGTGTCAATTCTAAACAAGGTATAGGCAACACTGTATTTGTGAAATTCGTTAGCATCAAAAACAGGTGCAAATTTTGCGTAAGTGAAAATAATGCTCCACGTGGTGCACACTCATGCGACATACATATAAACTCTTCAACAGTAGGTATAATGTATAAGACGTTAGTTGTATTGCATCAGACACAGTCATACAGTACCTTAGTGCTCCTAATGAGGTCTTCGGGGCCAGCCTCCACCTTGGCCGGTCTGTCAGAGGCATACTCAATCAGGTCGGCCTCGATGGAGTCAATGGTGTTCTCCAGACTACGTACCCCGCGACCTGCCTCATCCTCAACGTTCTTCACCGTCTTCAGCATGGTACTCACCTTGGCAACCATCCCCTGGGCAACAGAGTGATACACTTGAAACCACACCCACCCACAAACAACTACTAGGCTCCACTATATTAGTGCATTTGCACTGCAATCTCCAGCTATAGTCTATATACGTAGCTATTCAGGATCATTTTTGGCCTCTAAAGTTTAGGTCACCATATTATTTCAACAGGCACTCATAAAGGTATTACACCTCCAGCTATAACGCTCTCTAAAACTTAGACGCTTGCACTTGCAAACTCTTCACTGACTACACTAAACCACACCCACAACAGCTAAACCCCGCCCACAGACCCAACCCACCCACCTTGGCCGAGGCCTTCAGCCTCTCCATGGAGGGATCTTGAACACTCTTGCCCGAGGCTTGTCGCGTGGAGCCAATGAGGTTGCCGAGAGATGCGGCCACGTCTTTGACAGCTGTGAGGAGGAGGAGCTGAGCCTCCATGTCCTCGGAGGTGAGGGAGGCCGCGCCCAGCTTCACATAGTCAGCCTACATGGATAGCAGGACAGAGAGATGTAACTTGCAGTGACAGTACGCACACATACAATGATAATACACAACGTCCTGATTATCTTATGTGCAATACAACCCCCTATCTCTATCTCTCTCTCTCCTCACTTCGTTGGTGATGGTCTTGACAGCCTTCTGCGCCGCCTCGGCCAGCTGTTCCTGTGAACCAGCTGCACTGCTGACTAGTCTCTTTGTGTCTTCTACCAGCTGCTTGGCCGTCTCCAGAATGTTCACTCTGTCGTACCAACATATATACCAACAAACAGGAACAGTTAGTAATCTTGTGGGGAAATGTACTAGCAATATCTCGCATCGAGTCTACTAGTAAGTCCCAGTGCCACCGGTTCCCCATGCAACCCATTCATTCACACTCCTCTAGTAAGTCAAGTGTTTATACAAGAGTCCAAAGTGCGAGGTGATAAAAGTTCCATTGTGTTATGGGAAAGAGCTAGTTTTGCCTCCAGATCAGCAGAGAAGGAGAAAATTAACCTGTGTTCGGGGAAGGAGCCAACCTTGCCCTCAGGGTTGAGAGCTCCAGCTGTGCAGAACATGGCAGTGGTCTCCAGGTCACCCACGATGCTCTGGATGGTTGCTATGGCTTCGTTGCAGGCCTGCGTCCCTACGGCACCTGCCTGGATCGCTGCCACCACGTACGACACCTAGCAACACAACACACACAGGGACACCATGATGTAATTATGACATAATGGAGGAAAATCTGTGTATGTATGGCATAATGTATGAGATACGTCATGATACAACATCGATGTATGTAGGAATGACATCATCAATTCAAAGGTTTCAAGATTCCAAGAAACCAACGGAAGATTCTCAGATGATGTAATAATTACACAATCACCAACGACACTTTACATTTCCAAGAACAATTCTCACACTCTATGACGTAATAGTGACATATTTGACAATGATGTAATCATAAATGACGTCATACCTTCTCAGTGACGGACTTGGCGTGGTCGCCGAGCTCCCTCTTCACGGCCTGGTCACCTGGGTTCATTTGAACGTCTGCTGATGTGTACACCACGTTGACACAGGCGTCTCCAAGACTGTGGGCTGTCTGCTGGAGTCTCTTAGCAACCTAACACAGCAGGGGGGAGGGGAGGGGAGGGGAGCAGTAAACCTTTGAAAAGGGACTCACCAGGCACCTGGTTTGCCAATACCAACTTCCTTTGAAAAACAGACACATTTCATACTTTGGTTCTGCCCCTCTGGATAAGGGACACCTCAGCAACGTGTCCCTCATCCAGAGGAATCACTGTACCTCTTCACCCTCGATGGTGGCGAGGGCCCCTCTGGCGGAGTCCACCAGCTGGGAGTAGGCAGTGGTGAGGCTGCGACTAATGGCTGACAAGGTCTCCGGGGCGTTGACCCCCTGCAGAGCCATCTCCTGCACATGCTTCGCCACCGTCTGGTGAGGGAGAGAATGTGCGTGTGTGTGTCAGTTGAAAGAAGCACGATATTATACGGTTTCGAATTCATATACATGAATGTAAGTGCCGGTGCATTAACGATCATGAAATCAGGTGTGCACCAATTAGAGTTCGTTCTAGGAGCTTGTCCGAGAAACTGATGTCCTAGCCCTGTCGTTAAGGTTCCAATGTGTATACATCTCACGGACTCATAGTCTAACTATCACGTACAGTATATACTACAGTAGTAGGTGGAATATCCACATACGTACCTTGGCACTCTGGAAGGTCCTGGTCTGGTAGTCAGAGAAGTTCTTGTCAGGCTCTCTCTCCATTACCTGACGCAGCCGGCCCTGTGCCTTCACTATCTCATCCACCATCGCTGTACATGTATACACATCAGTATATATACAATCATACACTCTTTCTATGAAGGGCACAGTTTCGCAATTGGTGCTACGTTTTTCGCTATATATGTGCTAAAAATTTGCAGGACGCTCAAAATTTGGCAATTCCAAAGCAGAAAGATATTAAGCCATGCAAGCCGCGCATCTGGGTGCATGCATTAGCCAAAATGAAAATATTTGTTACTTAGAGCATAAATTGAACTAGACCTGCCATACAGTAATATGTAGGGAGGTTGTACATATGACAAACAGACCTGAAATGAGTCCAGCGTCTCCTCCAGCCTTCTCCAGGAGCTCAGTCAGATCAGCCACTGCCTCTGACAGCAGCTCAGAAGACTGTTCCACTTTAGCATGAGATGTCGTTGACTTGGGATTCCCTGCAGCCTCCTTTGACGCATACACCATCTGAAAGAGCAAGGGAGAGTAATGCACTGCACTC